GTTTTCCACATATGAATCTTGTAATTGTGGAATTGTTTTGATGAGCAATAATGTCGCGTGTGATGTTGTTGGTAGAGGCACAATCCGAATTAAAATGCATGATGGTATCGTGAGGACGATCACTAACGTTAGACATGTTCCTGATTTAAAAAAGAATCTCATCTCTTTAGACACCCTAGAGGCTCTTGGGTGTAAATACACAGCTGAAGGTGGAGTTATGAAAGTTTCTAGAAGTGCCTTTGTTGTTATGAAAGCTTGTAGGTCTGGTAGCTTGTATATTTTGTAGGGAACTACTATCACACGCTCAGTTGTAGTCTCATCATCATCATTGTCTGATTCTGACATCACCAAATTTGGGTCATATGAGTGAAAAAGGTTTGAGCATATTGAGCAAAAGGGGTCTTCTTTGCGGACAGAGTACTGAGCCACTGAATTTTTGTGAACACTGCATTTTTGGAAAGCAGAAAAGATTCAGCTTCAATTCTCCGGCAGTTCACAAAACAAAAGGTACTCTTGACTATATTCATTCAGACCTTTGGGTCCAGCTCATGCTTAGTCTAAGGGTGGTGCCAGGTATATATTGACTTTCATTGACGATTATTCTAGGAAAGTTTGGGTTTATTTTCTAAAGCATAAAAATGATGTTTTCCTAATCTTTAAACAATTGAAGGCTTTGATTGAGAAGCAAATAGGTAAACAGATTAAGCGACTTCGAACAGATAATGGCATAGAATTTTGTGAAGGTGACTTTGATGAATTCTGCAAAAATGAAGGAATTGTTCAGCATCGCACTGTTAGGATGATGTCTCAGCAAAATGGTGTGGTCGAACGTATGAACAGAACACTTTTAGAGAGAGCAAGGAGTATGATTTCAAATACAGGGTTGACAAAGGACTTTTAGGCAGAGGCGATTAATATTGCTTGTTACGTTGTCAATCGCGCTTCTTCTGCAGCACTTAACTTTAAAACTTCAGAGGAAGTTTGGTCAGGTACTCCTGCTGATTACTCTGATTTAAAAAATTTTGGGTGTCCAGCATACATGTATGTAAATGAAGGCAAATTAGAGCCTCGAGCGAAAAAGTATATTTTCCTTGGGTATGCTTCTGAGGTAGAAGGATACAGATTATGGTGTTCTAATCCCAAATCTCCAAAATTTGTAATAAATAAAGATGTTACTTTTGATAATTTGTCTATGTTATCTTCCAAAGAGGAATCTACTAGTTGTACAAATGATAGTGCGCAGAAGCAGGTGGAGCTTGAGATTGGTTGTTCAAATTCTTTTAAGTCAAACTCTTCTACTCAAAGAATGTCAGTAGATAGTCTCGAATCTACTGACAAAGATGATCTAGAGGAAGAACAATATTCCATAGCCAAGAATAGACCACGTAGAGATATTCGACCACCACAAAGATATATAAATTTAGTTGCATATGCTTTGTTTGTTGCAGAAGAAATAAGTGAAGTTGGTGAGCCTACTACCTACTCAGATGCAGTTTTTTGTGATAATTCTGCTAAGTGGTTGATTGCGATAAATGAAGAAATTGAATTTCTACATCGGAATAGAATTTGGGATCTTGTGAAGCTGTCTTCGGGTAAGAAAATTCATACGAAAGACAATCCAGCTGATGTGCTTACGAAGTCTCTTTCGGTTTACAAGTTCAAGCAGTGCTTGGACTTGGATGGTGTTCATTGTTAGTGATTGCTCGTTGGGGCTTTTATGAAGAAGGTGGAGAAAGTTTTGTTAGAATATATCAAGGTAAAAATTTGTTAGTTTGGCAAATCCCACATAGTCTCACATCATGAAAATCAAGTTTGGTATCTCTTGTTTAAACTATAAATAATGGCATGGGCTTTGAAATCAGATGTACCATAAGAAAACCTAATTGTTTGTTTTAGGCTTTTTTTGTTTAGTAGTTTCGTGTTTTATGGCCTAGGAACATCTTTCTAAGGCATTTGTAATAGTCCTTCTTTTATAGTAGTGTTTTGTTCCTCCTTCATCCGTGGATGTAGATCAATTGATCAAATCATGTAAATCTGGTGTTCTTATCGCTTTTATTTTTCTGATTTATTATTTTTGTTAGGTTATCAAAATTACCCTTTCATAAATTTCCTGGGACTAGCTCTAAGGTGCCAATCGCCCTCCAACTCTACCACGGCACATCTGAAGAGGGGAGTCGAGTTGAGTTGAATGAGTGTACGTGCTACTCACAGTAGTGCTTCCTTAAGTCATTTTGGCGAGTCTTTAAATAATCTTTTCTGAAACCCAGGAGTTGAGATCAATGAACGGAAAGCGAATTAATCATTGAATTGATAAGGATAACTTTGTCAGCCAACGATAAGAGACTTTTTATGACTTTGACAAAAACGAAAGATTGCTCTCTTTCATTATCTCTACCCCATGAGAGAAACGTTCTCAAGTACACAAGGATCGACAAATGAGGTGTTTGATTTGATGAGATTAACCGTAAGGTGGGTGTTGATATTCTCATAGACCTTCATAATTTTAAGGACGTGGGAACAAGATCTATGATTAGCTCTAAAGGAGAGGCGGAGATCGCTAACAAACCTAAGATGGGAGATCTTGGTTCCCCTTGAAGGGGGTAATATGCTTATTTTGAATAGCTTCGGAGATAACTGAGGAGAGAAGTTGGAGATAACAAGAATGAATAGATAGGGAGAGAGCGCATTTCGCTGTTCGGCGGCAATTGTAAGTTACCACCACCTTGTGGCATGATATCAATGCTTCGTGGAAAACATCGAAGAGATTTCTCATCTCATACATTATTGTTTAGTGATTCGAACTTTTGTACCAAAGCATTTGATACGTTCCAGTAACGTGCAATCGATGTTGCTATTCTCACGTCAACTGTGATATTAGCATATTAATAGTGTCATGATTAGCAATGTCACTACACCGAAATTATAGCTGACTACACTACGGAACATGAGTATCGATTTCAACATCTTATTGTCGATAACTTGTATGATGCGCGAAAATCCAGTCCAAATAACTTATATACAAACATTCATGTCAGATGTTGGTCCTGTTCCACATCAATCTTACTTCGAAAGTCCAGTTGGAGACGAGCTTCGCTCGCAGGAATGTGTACAACGGTCGGAAGGTGAATCATTGACACTGTATACCGTAGCAATCGACGCGTCGTCCATGGAAAGCACGCTGTACGTCAGCACCGGCCGGCTAGCAGGAAGCACAGGCAATGGTGTCTCCGAATTCAGTGCGCTGATCGCCTGCTTGATCGATGGCCGCAGGTTGTAGTCCGGATGAGCACACCACAATCCTACTACCATCAAGCTCTCCATCTGCTTCTCGTCGAAGTCGCCTTTTAGCTTCTCGTCCGCCGCTTTCAGGATGGTTTGCCTTCCGTAGAGCTCCCACACCCACTCGGCTAGCCTCACCTTGTTCGGGTGCTCCATTGGCTGGATCGTCCTTCTCCCGCACGCGATCTCCAACGCCACGATTCCGAAGCCGTAGACATCCGACTCTTTGCTGGCCTTGCCGGTGTAGAAGTATTCAGGAGACATGTA